TATTGCATATTAGTTAATTTAGGGAAATATTTAATTAAATTTATTTTTATTTTGTCAGTTTTATTTTTATACAATTTGATGTCATTTTATATAATAATTTATTTCAGAGTTCATTTAAGTTAGTTGTGTTTTATTATATTTATTCATTGTATTTATTTGTTTACACCAGTCACAGGCGGGTTGTTTCCATAAGCTGAAGATAATTAGAAATTATTTGAGACCCTTACTGGGTCATGAGAACTTGTCAAACTTGGAAATACTTTCATTTGAAAATGAGATAAGCTAAGTAGTTTATTTATAAAATATTATGGATGGGTTAGCTTCCTTTAAAGCCGAGAAAGTAAAATGATAATAAATTCTGTTTTGGGAGTAAAAAAGTTAACTGTGACTTTGAATCCGCTTCCTTTGGAGGTTGACACGGATGATAGTCTAGAAAACGGACGCTGTTGGAGAAAAGGGAGACAAGGGTGGGAGACACCGCAGTCTGGGCTGAAGAGGGGGCGTTGTCCTCACGGCTGACTCGCGCGGGTTTGGTCCCGAAGGGGCCTCGACTCCCTCCCTGGGGCGGTGGGTCCCGCGGGAAGGAAAGCGCCTGCTCTCGCGGTGGGAGCAGCGCCCGGGTCCCTCCGGGCCGAGTACCAGGCGTTTCCCACGCTCTGGGGGCCAGGAGGGTAGAACCAGCGGTGCGCGCGCCCTCTCGTGGCCGGCCGCCGAATCGCTGAAATTCAGGGTCAGCTGATTTGGAAGTCGAAATCGAAGTGGGGTCCCCATCCAGTGCCTTGATGGGAACCACGGGGATAACAAGAAGTAAAGTCCACTGACTGTTAGAACGATCTGGAAGGAGGAAACAGGAGGAGAGCAGAGGGGCCCAGAGATGGAAAAGGCTGGGCCTCCTCTGGCCTGGACTCTGTGACCTGTCGACTCTACACACCTACCTCCCCACCAGGGCCATGTTAGTGGGAATGAGGAAATATTTGAGGGGTGCCAAGGAACTCGGTGGTCAGGTCTAACGACATTTTAATACAATGTATTTTGAAAATTAAAATTGATACAAACAATCCATGATGAACAAAACATCAGCGTTTTAGACACAAGACTAGTAAGCCAAAGTCAATTAAATTATTGAAGATCATCACTTGCTCAAGAAAAATGGTCAGACTTGTTAGTTCTCTCCATTGGAAACAAGACAAGCAAAGAAGTGGGTTTTCAAAATGTTGATATGTTTACTTCCATTAAATCAAAAACCAAAAAAACTCAAATCCATTGCGACTGAATCGATTCCAACTCTTAACAACCCTATAGGACAGAGTACAATTGCCCTGTAGGGTTTCTAAGGAGTAGCTGGTGGATTCGAGCTGCCAACCTTTTGGTTAGCAGCTGTAGCCCTTAACCACTGCGTCACCAGGGTTCCCCCTTAAATCCAGAATAGTAAAATTATAACACATTCTGGTTTTGGTATAAATGAAATAATGTGAGTTTTCATAACCTAATTTTCAAGTTTTCTGTATTTTTTCAACTAGGATTTAAACAAACTACTCAAACAGTAAATCAAATCTATTAACTAATCAAACAATTGATCAAACACAATAAATAAGTAAATATAAAAAATA